TAGAGATCGGGGCAGGTACAGGAGGAATGACAAACTACCTCCTCGATATTCTTGCACAGAACGGTGCCCGTGATCCTCGTGTTGGTACGCCTCGATTTGCTCACTACACATACACGGATATTTCCGCCGGTTTCTTCGAAGGCGCAGCTTCTTTATTCGAGAATTTTCCAGACATGGTGACGTTCAAAGTACTTGATATTGAGAAAGATGCAGTCAAGCAAGGATTCGAAAAAGAGAGCTACAACTGCATCATTGCGGACAATGTTCTTCACGCCACTCAAGACCTCGAGATTACGATGAAAAACGTGAGGACGCTGCTAAGACCCGGAGGAAAGCTTCTACTTTTCGAACTGACAGTTCCAGAGGTTGTTCGAACAAATTTTGCGTTTGGTCTGCTCCCTGGATGGTGGCGCTTCAATGACAAGTATCGCAGTTTTAGTGCGGGGATTTCAGATGACGTGTGGGATGAAGTGTTGAAGAGTACTGGGTTTTCAGGTATCGACTTCAACTTCAAAGACTACGATGAAGATGAATGCCATGAGCATAGCGCACTGGTCTCTACATCTCGCGACGATTTCTCAAACACTACGCCGTTCCCTCCAACGATAGTTATACTCGATCCGAAGTCCGATCTCCAGAGCAAAACTTACGAGTTGCTGCGTGATCAATTGCGATTATCAGGAACCACGGATATTGTTTCCGCCACCCTCAATGAGGCTACTATTTTCAAAGGAAAGCAGCCTTTTATTGTCGTACTTTTGGAACTCAACAAACCTTTCTTGCACGAGATGACCGAGCCTGAGTTTGAGAATCTCAAAGCAATGTTCTTGACTTTTGAAAATATTCTATGGACTTGTAAAGGCGGAGGAGACAGACCCGACATGCCAGAGTATGCGCTCGTTCAAGGTACTTTCCGCGCACTACGAATGGAAAATATAAGACTCAAATTTATCTCCCTCTCATTCGAGACTTCCTCGAACAACGCCACACATCTCGCGAATAGGATTTTCGAGGTCTACAGCGAGATTTCCACTAAAGGTGTTAAGGACTGCGAGCAGGAATATGTAGAACGCAATGGTATGATTTGCATCGATAGAGTAGTCGATGCAGATTACATGAATCAGAAGTTTTCTGCGACGACAGACGAAACATTACGCAGCGACTGTGAATTTTCTAGCGCTCCTCCAATAACTCTCAGTATCAAAACACCTGGACTAATCGACACCCTTGAGTTCATCCAGGATAATACTCTCAATACCGATCTAGCAGGCGATGAGATCGAGATCAAAGTCGAAGCCAGCGGTGTTAATTTCCGAGACTGTCTCATCGCACTGGGTCGAATACCCAGCACAAGTTTCGGGTTCGAGTGCTCGGGTCATGTTTCCCGCATTGGATCTCACGCGACTAAATTTCAGGTAGGCGATAGGGTGTGCGCAAGCACAAGTGGAACATATCAAACCTATGCTCGTTGCAAGACTAGTAATGTCATTCCCATCCCCGGGAACATGTCTTTTGTTGAAGCGGCCGCGATGCCGGTGGTATTTACAACGGCGTACTATGCCCTTGTGCACGTAGCCCAATTGCAGAAAAATGAATCGGTTTTGATACATTCTGCAGCGGGCGGAACAGGGCAAGCTGCTATTCAGGTCGCGAAACTCCTGGGCGCTGAAATTTTTGTGACTGTGGGATCGGAGTCTAAGAAGAACTTGCTTATTAGTCTGTATCAGATACCGGCAGATCATATTTTCTATAGTCGCAATTCTCTATTTGTCAAGGGCATCAAAAGAATGACTGCTGATCACGGCGGTGTCGATGTTGTCTTGAATTCACTCAGCGGTGACCTTCTAGTAGATACATGGCAATGCATAGCACCATTCGGACGATTTCTCGAAATTGGCAAGAAAGACATCTTAGCGAATGGGAATTTACCCATGCTTCCATTCTCTCGAAATGCCTCTTTTCACGCCATTGATTTGAACGAGGCGCAGAAGTATCGACCGGGACTGCTCATGGATCTTCAAAAAAGTATCACCACCCTAATTTTCGAGAATAAAATCCAACCACCGCAACCTATCCACGTCTATGGAATCGGAGAGGTTGAAAAAGCCTTCAGGTATCTACAGAGCGGAAAAAACTCTGGTAAGACAATCATTCAAATCCAAGGACATGATATGATCAAGGTAAGTTCAACCACCCCCACACAGATGGATTAATCTCACAAAAGTAGACATCTCTTAAAAGACCACATCCGTGGACATTCCCAGAAAACGCAACCTACATTATCGCCGGAGGACTCGGTGGTATCGGACGAAGTACTGCACAATGGATGGCGGATCGCGGCGCCAAAAATCTAGTCTTGCTCTCGCGATCTGGTCCCACGTCAGAAGAAGCATCGCAATGCATTGCCAAATCAGAAGCTCAAGGGGTACGAGTAGAGATCCCTCGATGCGATATCGCTGATTTCACATCCCTCGAGTTAGTTCTCAATCATATACATAAAACAATGCCACCTATAAAAGGATGTATCCAATCCGCCATGGTGTTACGAGTAAGTCTTGATTTTGTAACTGGAATCCAAACATGCTAACAAAAATACAGAGTAGTGTATTCGAGAACATGACATACTCAGACTGGCGAGGAGCAAGCGACTGCAAAGTTTCCGGGACCTGGAATCTGCACACTCTCCTCCCGAAAGGCTTGGATCATTTCATCGTGTACTCTTCCATCTCTGGTGCAATTGGTGGAACAGCATCTGTAAACTACAGCGCCGCTTGTGCCTATCAAGATGCATTAGTACACTACCGCAATAAGATGGGCGAGAAAGCTACCACTTTTAACCTGGGAGTTATGATAGACGACGGCATCTTGAGGGATAACACAGCGGTGAGAACTGCGTTACTTGGTACTGGATACCTAGTTGGTATAAAGCAAAAAGAGATGTTTACTTTACTTGAACATCACTGTGATGCGTTCTTGAGTATACCGACGACTCCACTCCAGTCCCAGATTCTCGTGGGTATCGACACCCCTTCGTCGATCAAGGCGCGGGGCGCTGACGTGCCCACCATGATGACACTCCCGAAGTTCAGGGGAACATGGAATATCAATGAGAAAGGCAGAACAGATATGAAAGAAGGGGTGGTTACTGACGTGGTCAGTCAATTACATGGCGTAGCTTCACAAGCAGAAGCAGCCAGCATTATTGCCAATGCATTGATGGAAAGATTGAGCCACGCGCTGGCTGTTCCTCGGGAGAATTTGGATTCCTCACGCCCTATGCATATCTACGGGGTCGACTCGCTAATCGCCGTTGAGTTAAGAAATTGGTTCAACCAAAAGCTCGACGCTGAGGTCGCAGTATTCGAGATCTTAGGGGAAGTGACGTTTCAGGACATTGGTGTTCTAGTTGCCAGTAAAAGTAAGCTGGTAGAGGTACTCTTGACAGGGACTTGAAAGTGGGAGCTGTTGAATTAATATATGAACGTAGGTGAACAACCTTAAATCATTAGGCTACTGTAATACACTAAGTGAGAGGGCTGGCCTTAAACATTTAAGGATTACCTCTTCCTACACATAACTAGCTCTCTAAACAGAATACAACATTGTCAACTAGGACCTATCATCACGGATCTTACATCATCTATACTCCTCTCAAATCAACAGTCAAGAAATCCGTTTACCTAAACCCCAAACCCAAACCCCAAAATCCTATATTTGAAACCCTAGAAGAAATAATATTCCAGAACATTAATATCCCGTCCTATCCCATCCCATCCTAATTCCACATAAACCGACAAAAAAAACAAAACAATTTCAGCCGAAACTCAAAAAGTGTGAATAATTCAGAACATTCCTCTCCTTTCCTCTCCAACTTTGTCTTTTTGATCTATAGGTCTCTCGACTTGAAGATTTTCATAAATACATCCATCCATCCAATCAATCACCAGCCAACCAATCAACCAACCAACTTCTCTTTTATTTCAAATCTTCAAATCTTCAAAGTTCAAAGTTCAAAGTTCAAATTACCACACACCATCATTCACACAACCCCACATCTCAAATATCCAAAGAAAAGAATACACTACACCACACACGATTATCAATCTCTTCAGAAATCCAGAAATTTATTTCAGTATCTCATCTCCAAGTAGGCAAGCGAGCAAGCAAGCAAGCAAGCAAGCCACTATACAGTAAGTACTCTACAACTAACTACACTACAACCACGTCATCCATCCATCCATCCTACTTCGCCTTCGGTACATTAAATACGGATACTAATTACAGTAATAAAAAGGTAATAGAAATGGGAATTATAAAAAGAATACTTATAAAAAGAAGAAAAAAAGCAATCAACTACCCATCCACACATCCACTCCACACATCCACTCCTCACATCCACACATAAAAAAGAAAACACGCCAATAAATCACGCTTGCAGAACAGACAGACAGACAAACAGACAGACAGGCAGATACCCACATCCGAGACAAGACAAACTCAAGAACCACGATTCCACAAAGAAGAAAAGATATAAATGCAAGTGCATCCATGAAGATGAGACTAGAAGATGAACACAATATCAGACCCATGCATTTCATCTCATCCATCTTATGTACTCCTGCCCATGAAACTCCCCATAAAACTCCCCATCATTCCATCCCATCCCAGTCCATCCCATCCCATCCAAACAATCCCGTTCAAGCAATGAACATCCATCCATAAACTTTTTGTTTATCACCTCCCAACCAAGCCGGCCTAATAATATTAATGCCACGGCAATGCCAGTACGAATTCCAACGCCTATAAATTATCATGTACCCGAGCAAACCCAACTCTTCCATGCGAATTCGTCACACATATCTGTACATATGTAATAGCACCCCACTATCGTTTCGTTCTAGTATATCTTCTGTAGCGTTGGTTTCTGCATGCACTCCCACCAAACTAGATTCTTGCAACCCAGACCGTTATTAAAGATTTTGATTTGGTGATAAATGTTATCACGCTTGGGGAGATTTGACACCGGCTCCATTTCTACTTTCCTCACTTGTGCAGCCCAGCCCACCAAATTTCCTCTTTTTCACCGGGCCAGCCCCAGGAGTCTCAGCCTCCCCCTCAACATCCGTATCTCCCTCCCTTTCCTTCGGAATCCTTTCTCTTTCTCTCTCCAACCACTTCTCCTTCAGAACATTATAAATCATCACAAATTGTGCGACCCTATGTACCATCAACATTCTCTGATCCCTCAGTCTCTTTACTGTTTCATAGACCGGATCCTTATCTCTCGATAACCCATCCAGATGACCCATTTCCAGTTCCCTCAGAAGGTGATCGAGCGCGATAAATGTACCAGTACGACCAACACCTGCCGAACAGTGAATTATGCGAGGCGTGGTTGAATGATTATTAGCTGCGCGCGAGACGTCGAGGAGGGAGAGGAGGGCATGTATATCGGCGGGAGATTGAGGGATATCATTATCGGGCCAAGATTCGAAGAGGAAATGATGGATTGTACGTTCTTCGACTTCTGCTTCTGCTTCCGCTTCTGCTTCCGCTTCTGCTTCTGCTTCTTCCTCTTGTAATTCCTCCGTTGTATTTTCTGATTCTTTTTCTGTCCCAGGGTGACCCTCTGCTATTGCTTCAATCGTTCCAACCGCTCCATTCTCAACACTCGCACTGCTTTTTGTGCTCACACTACTCGCCGCTCTCTTTACCCTCTTCACTTTCAATGTCCTCCGAACATTTCCCCCCTCTTCTTCTTTCCCCACACATCTAACCTCCCAGTACCCTATCGTCTTAACCTCGTCCACATCCTCCGCGTAATAAACACCACACTTTTCCTTTCCCTCTTCAACCGGTCTCGTCAGCATAACCACCACTTCTGCATTCTCCTGCCAACACATTTCCCAAAACAGTCCCCCGTCATGTCCATTATCCCTTGGTCCTTGCGTCGGCAATATAATTTTTCCTGCTCCTCTCCACGTCCATTCGCAGTGCGAAGTGCGATGGGCGATGCATTTATATAGCCAAATTGTAGCGAATGGAGATTAATTCGATGATGTTCCCATGGATAGACATCGCTATATCTATTGCGCGATACTGCGACAGGGTGATGTATTAATGTATTTGGTATCGTTCTGAGCGTTTGCTCATGGTTTCTCAGAGCTATGAATTTGGCCATCAACACATTCGATGAGTGGTTGAGGAAATGTGGAATCACATTTTTTTGTTTCTGCGATGTAAGATCCGTTTTGACCGAGAGACTTGTAATCATGGGGGACATGAAAGATTGTCGTTTGGAAGGAGATAGTTTCGCAGACGAGGTTGAGACGGATAGCGATGGTTTGTCCGAAGTACTTGGTCTTCTCTCAAAGATGGAGTTTGGGGGTTTGTTCGGTAATTCGGTAATTCCCGATTGTGATTGTGGTTGTGATTGTGATCTCTCCAGTGAAGACGAGAGTTCATCACCGCTACCACTATTACTGAGACTGCCACTGCCACTACCACCACCAGCCTCAGCACCATCGACGTCGTTATTATCGATCGTGTTCATAGTGTCGTTTTGTCGATGGTGATTTCGATGGAGATGTACCGGTGAATGTTGACGAATGCAGATTCGAATTCGTTGAGAAAGAGGAATTTTGTCTGTTACCACTTTAGGTGTGTGATTTGAATGTCGCAAGATACCCATACCAGAATGCCCCTCAAGGAATTCTCGTTATCCGGTATGGATGACGTATAATATATTTTTGGAAAAGAGGCGTGAGTTTAATTCTTATTTCGTTGGATGATATTGCTTCAAGATCCGAGCGAGTCTGAGAGCAGATGCAATAAGGTTGAGAGGTCCAAAATTAGATATTATAAGATCTTCATAAAATATAAGTCATGGAGAATCTACCAGTAAGAAAGAAATGGTAGTAACGATAGGAAGTATATAGAAGGAAGTTGGAGTATGATAGAATAGAGTAGTACTACTGAAAATTACAACAAGAGAGAGAAGTAGAGTAAAGAGAAAAGAAGAGAATCAAAGTATATAATCAAGTGAAGTGCATGAGATTCCTTTGACCAACAAATCGACTAAAAATGAGACCTTTGGAAATATCGAAATGGGAAGATTACCTGGGTAAAAAGTGCCCACCTAGGTATAATCGAGATATCAATATAGAATTACAAACGGAGTTATAGATCTTCTTTATTATTCAAAGTCATCGTAATAGTCAGAGTCATATCATATAATATAAACCTTCGACCTGACAACGTTCGCTTGTTTATAAGAGAGAGAGAAAGTACCAAAACACACATTGTAGATGTTGGGTAGGCAGTGGAGGTATTGACAAACATATGAGAAACGGGTTGTCGGTACATACAGCTTAACACCGATTTTGCAGATGAAAATCTGGGGTTAGGATCACTTCCTACCGTGGGAAATTGGTTCAGACTCCATTTGCCCGTATAGACGCATAGAATCCTCATAATGGAAGACGATGGGGCAAATTGGGTGGATGGGTGGGTTGCGTGATGGTGCCGACCGGTGAGACTACTTTCATACCTTAACTCCGTTTCAGCTGGGAAAGGGATCATTAGACTCAAAATCTAGTTTATCGCTTGTTGTTTGAAGTTCTTGCTATCAACTACGTAGTATCTATCTATCCCAAGATTGTGTGTGTTCCATCGCACTCGAATCGTGGCTCGTTTCATCGAAGGATTGATATTCTCACATTCGATTTCATTGATATGTACTATATACCAAACCTATATTACTACCTAGTATATATCACCAATTTCTAGATCGTTTCAGATCCTTCCATTACTTGTACCTCCCCCCAAAGCAATAGACAAGCTTTTTTGCTACCTATATTAAGCTATTGAAGATCCTTGGGATCTCATTAACCCTTTAAGGCCTCAACAAATAAATCTACCTACTTCGTAGGTAAGTGTTTTCAAGTATACCAAGCATTCTCAATAGCTAATCGTCTCTTCAGGTCAGGTCTCAATGTTAGAGACCATAAACGCTACCAACTATTTCAACATTTCAGGTTTAATGTTCATACCTAGGTAATCTTACATATCTCCAAAACTTCCTACTCCTCACTCCTTACAAAACCCTCCCTTCTCTTCTTCTTCCTCATCCTCATTCCCAAAATTTCCCATCCACCATCCACTATCCCCTGTCCAAACCCCTCCGAAGTCCATACTCCGTAGGGAGTAAAAAGAAATCCAAAAAAAAATCTCATCTCCAGCGCCCCATCTCACCCATCCAGCCCCATCCTCGGAAATCAGTTTTTCGAATCCGTGATATATTCCCTATCCTATCCTATCCTATTATAACTAATCCCTACCCAGGCACTTACTTGTTAACTTACTTACCAGGTCCCCAGCTCACATAATAAATAGAGTTTCCCAATCTCCCTCCCCCCCCCCCCCCCCCCAAAAAAAGTCCGAGCGAATATCCGTTTTTGCGTCCAAGATTGCTCGGTAGCTAAGCGATGTCTAACGATTTGGTACTTTGCTCCGAGATGTTAATAATGTACCTACCGGGAATTCCTGTGATTGCCATCAAATTGAAAGAAAGCATGCAGTATTGTGATCGGAAGTATTTGAAGTAGGTACCGATGAAATCGGCATTAAGCCACAAGATAGTCTAATAAGAATGAGATCATCCGAGACCTTCAGGATACGTGCGTCGTAATCTCAATCAACATTTCATCATTGTTGAGATGTCAAAAATGCGAGGAGTGCGGGCAGGAAATCCAAGATTACCTTCGTCGCCGTTTAAGAGTAATCAAGATACTATGTAAGTGGATTCAATGATATGAATGTATTTTATTCTAACTTCGGAGTTAACCTATACTTGTGCTGTCCTCGAATACGCCGAGGTAAAATAATCTCCTGTATAGTCCGGCATCAACTGGTATTGAACCAAGCTTCCACCCAATGCTATCGAACCCTTCGAACCCACCGAATCCAATTCAAACGCCACGCTATGCATACAAAGTAACAAATACAGTATCCTATTCCTCCTAAAGTTTCCCTTGTTACCCAGCTTATACCATAAGCAATCCCCCCATATTATTCTCTCTCGTCCCTTCACTACTGTCCCTCCCATTTTTGCTTTTACTTGTACGCATGTAGGGTTGAGGTATCAGTATAGGTTTAGTCGGAGTATATCTCGCTTCTATTGTTTGCTTAGTATCTTCGTCCCTATCTGAGCCTTCTGAGGCAGTGATTTCTTCGTTGTCATGATTTTCGTTGTTCGTAAAGTACGTGTCTACGTCTGATAAATTAGAAGATGACGAAGATCTTGATATGATGTGGTCTGCGTCATCGGTCTCAGTGAGAGGTGTAATCTTTGTTGAGTTTGAGATCGTCTCACGAGATGTGAAAGGAGTGGTTTCACTTTGGGAGCTGCATGCCGATTTTTCTATACCAGCATCTTGCATCGATGTATCGGTAACGGAGTCTAGGGCTGATAGATGAACAGCAGGCTCAATCTGATCATAAAAGAGCATAAATACCCCTCCTTGCGCCAGGACATTATCTTCACTGACTTTGATGACGTGATCATCACTTAAACGCCACCATTGATCTTGTTTGCTGCCATTCTCATCAGTTTTGATTTCCGAAACTGGATGTCTTCGGTAGCAAATATAGTGACCATTATCATGCCTTCCAGAATGGGTAACAACTGCCCGTAATTCGTAAACTGGTCCTTGTATCCGAGATTTCTTTCGTATTCCCGCAACCATAGAATCATATGGGGCTAAGAGCCATTCTTCGTTGTCGTGTTCTTCATCATTGTGTCCAGCACTCCCTAGACAGTACGGGCCGAGATCGAGATATTTGGGAAAGCGAATAGCGGCTGTCTTCTTACTCAACTCTCCATCGGGCCCGTAAGTACTTCGATTAAGATGGAGGGCTAAAGATTTTGGAGGCCGAGCAATTATATCTTGTTTTGATTTGGTAACTGATACCCAATTTTCTATAGGTATTTTGCATTTATCCTTAAGTGTCTTTTCCGCAAAATCATCATTTTCTAGTGCTTCTGTGACGGCCCGTAGTCGTTCCGATGTATTTATGCGAATTCGATTATCTTCCGGTTCGGCCTTAAGCCGCTCCATCAAAGTAGAGAGCAAATGCTGACTTTTCTGTAGTGTGCATCTCTCACAGTATACACCATTAACAAATTCTAGCTTTGTACCTTCGTGAAGCAATTGAGAGAGATCATATTCCCAGCCTTCCCCAACAATCAAAGGCTGACAAAGAGAAGGCGTCGTTTTCAAGCCTTCGGAGTAACCGCACTTGGTGCACACAACCCTAGTGGCGGTAAGTCCGGTCAAAGGATTTGGGAACAAAGCTTGAGTGTGTGATGGTTGCTGACTCGAAGTTTTCAGAATATTGAGCTGCTCCAATCCCGATACCCCGCCCGACTTGTTGTTGTTCCTACTCTTTGTCTATTGCGCCAAGAAGACGAGAAAAAGTATTCTTGCGCATCTTGTTGTTGCCAACTACTCATGTTTTCAATGCTGCCGGTGTTCCAAATCCTCCTCCCATTATTCGATTTGTCCTTTAGAGTAGCAATCAACTCCTTCAAAAGCATTTCGCCATTTTGACATCTTCGGATTTCGAACCCTCTGTTGTAGAGCTTCATCATTCTGAAAACTTTCCAGGAAATCTGGCAGTGAGTCTAATGATGCTAGTCCTTGTAAAATGCTATTTTGATAGACGGAATTGTCCCAATTTCCTAATCCGGCAGGCGTTTCATCGTCTCCCACAACCCCCAAGCCACCGATGAGAGGAAGAGTTGATAGTCTTCTCCTCCCAGCACTTGCGACGGAATCTATAATCCCGCCAGGAGTGTCCAAGCCAAATAGACGGCGCATCATCTCACTTTTTTGCGCATGTGTCTGCGGGTATGTCATTGTGTTGGGATTTCGTATTGGCAGAGGATTTGAATAATGGTCGGCGTAATCGAGTAATGCAGAAGGCGTCAGGTAAACTAGAGCTTTCCAAGCCAATTGTGAGGGAGGCAGGAGGTCATAATCGAGATTGATGAGCCCTTGATAGGCTAATGCGATAACAATAGCTGATACCGACAAGAAGGTTCCTATTCCAAATCGTTCCTTCTGATATAATCCTTCAGTATAATCTTGATGATAATCATCTGCTGTAAACTGATCTCTGTCAAAGAGATCATACATATGCCCGTTTTGAGGATTCATGCTTGGGTGGGTGAATGAAGGTGGAGGGATGGTATGGAATGATTGAGTTTCTGTTGAAAGATTGTATACGAAGAATGCGAAGGCGAAGGCGAAGGCAAAGGCGAAGGCAAAGGCAAAGGCGAATGCGACAAAGTTCAAATTATCACATTAAGGCGGACGTGAATGATTAAGTACCATTACTAGATAGATATTTAATTCTGGAGCCAGAGGTCAGAAGCCGATGTCACGGTATTGTATTTAAAGATGTAAAAAGTTTGTAAAGATTTTGAGAGTGATGTTGTTATGCTGTAGAAACTCCATGTGGTTGGTGGTGGTATGCATACCTAGCAGCCTAGCAGGTATGGTAGAGTGTTTATTTTGAATGGCTTTGTACTTTTATCAACTAGATGGATATTAATAATAGTAACAACAGTAAAAATAACTTCTCCAAATGTGTGCTAAGTAACTCATAAACATGTGAGGACACCTCGTGTGTCTATGCCAATCGTGCCAATGTAGTTTAGTGTTATGTCTGTTAAAGTCTTTAGTGGATAGGAAGCGTTGGGATCCCTAGTAGATAGATACTGAGTAATTACCCCACAACGAAATAATTCATATCTGCAGATTCAAAGATTCAAAGAAAAAGAAAAAGAGAGAGAAACAAGAAACAAGAAACAAGAAACAAAAAGAAAACAAAAGAAAACTCTTCCAAAAATAAATATCTTTGTTGTTTATCTATCACAATGGGTAAAACTGCACCTCTGAAGAATAAGGCTTGTAAGTGAAACATGGAATCTTCTCTTCTATCTCAAAACTTTCAGTATTAATAAATTCATCAGCGACCTCAGTACGTTCTCGCGCAGCAAAACGTGCATCATCTCCAAGTATCGACACCGATAAGTCCCTCAAAAATGTCAAGGCTCCAGCAGAAACAGTATACAACCCACAAATTCTATCTCCACACCAAGGTGCCGGTGTGTCTAAGAAGAAGAGTGGAAGGCAATTGAGTTCAAAGGCAAAGAAGCGACAAAACAAGGGAATGGACCGAGCAGAAGCGGTAATGGATAGAACGTCCACGAAAATCGAGAAGAGCAAATACAGAGGAAGGAATGTTCAAGAAAGAGCAAAGACCTGGGAAGCTTTAAACAAAAAGGCACAGGAAGCTGTTCAAGCAGCAATGGACAAGGAGAACGAGGTCTCTGAGGGGGAGGAGGATGTCGACGTCGAGGATGATCAATCGCAAGGAGAGATTGAGATGGATGGCACTTCAATCGCTCCAATTGCTCCTGCTGCGCTCCAATCAGCTCCATTACCTACACCAGTGGAGGATGAAGAAGAGATTCTATAAATTTGAGAGGGGAATCTTATATTTGCATGGCGAACTGGCGTACCAAAGGAAGGGAAAAGGATTTTGCACGCTCAAAATTATGACTTTGATAGCAATAAATTATGAAGGGTTGATTTGATAGAAATATGGGATGATCGATCGGACTCCAACCAAGTACTGAGCGTAGAAATTTTGTAGGATGGTAAAACCATAGCTGTAGAGCTCTGAATAGTGGAAAGGAAGCAATTCACAGATACAGTTTTGCGGTCTATGGAACTTTACAGTAGAAGCATACAATCTATGCGCTCAAAATTTGACTGCAATGTCAAATGTAAAGCGCAGGTTTCCTCAGGAAGAATATCAGCCCCTTGTATTTGGCTTTCAAAAACACATAATGCAAACTATATTTGAATTAAGATTATATTCCGAGAGAAAAACAACATTTCATTGCCGACTGATCAATATTGATATGAAATTTTACGATAAATAAGATTTTGATAAGTCACTGCGCTCCCACCCACCGTTATCTTAGCGCATGATTCTGGTCCCATGAATTGTTTTGCAGGGGTAAGTGCAGCAAGGCAGCTTAAGAATTGCTCTATTTCAGCCTCGTGAAACTTTCCCAAGCTCTATCTATACGGTCCAACGCAATTCAATCTATCAACTCGATTTTGTTAGCATCATTCATATATTCAATCTTAATCATGTCTGGGAAACGTATGACCGCGAATCCAATTAAACCATCACGATATCGACCGGGCAAAGCACATCTTGAAGATGATTCTTCTGATTCTGGAAGCGATGCAGAAGAGACACCTACAATTGCGCCGCCCCCAAAAGCTTCAACCGCAATTGGCATCTCTAGCAGTTCACTGAGAGGTGACATAAACGAGAGGAGGAAAGTCGCAGCAGCCAAAGAAAATGCGCGAATTCAAGAAGAAAAGGCCGTGAAGGCTGCAGAAGAAGAGGGATTTGTGACGGAAGAAGAAAGTGAAGAAGAGGAAGAAGGTAGTGAGGAGGGAAGTGAAGAAGATAGCGAAGAGGAAGAGAGTAGTGAAGAAGAGGCGCCTAGAAAGGTTATGATGAGGCCGATATTTATCAAGAAGGATAAGCGGAACAATTTACCTGGGGCTTCTAACACGGATACTAAAACGGAAGAGGAGTTGGCTGCGGCTGAGGAAGAACGAAAGAAAAAGATGGCAGATGAAATTGTTGAAGAGCAAATCAGAAAAGATATCGCTGCGAGGGAAGCGGGGAAGAAGAACTGGGATGATGAGGAAGAGGAGAATGAGGTAGACGATACCGACGATATTGATCCAGAGGCGGAGCTTGCAGCATGGAAATTGAGAGAGCTCAAAAGAATCAAGAGAGATAGGGAGGCAATTGAAGAGCGAGAAAAGGAATTGGAAGAAGTCGAGAGGAGGAGGAATTTGACGGAGGAAGAGAGGAAGAAAGAAGATGACGAATATATTGCGAAGCAGAAGGAGGAGAGGGAAGGAAGAGGAAAAATGGCAACAATGCAGAAGTACTATCATAAGGGCGCCTTCTACTCAGATGCATTGGCTGCAGAAGGTCTAGACAAAAGAGACATCATGGGTTCTAGATATGCGGATGATGTACAAAATCGAGAGCTGCTCCCAAAAGCATTACAAATGAGGGATATGACGAAATTAGGAAAGAAAGGAGCGACAAAGTACAAAGATTTGAAGTCGGAAGACACGGGCAGATGGGGGAACTTTGATGATAGAGGTCCGAAGAGGGGTGGAGGGGGGATGGGCGGATCTACGGAGGATGAACGATTCATGCCAGATAGAGATAGAGGAGGGGCTAGCGGTGCTAATAATGTTCCCGTGGGTGATGAAAATCGTCGAAAGCGTCAAAGACATGATTAGGTAGTTAATAATTTCGAAGAGTTCCTTTGTGTTAATCTCGATCGATGGCGTTGGCATTTGACTTGGATATCGAAAGAATCGGATATTCTCACATTTAGCATCTTCACATCGTCTTATCAATGATTCTTTCTCATATACAAAGTCGAGATTGAACTTTGTAGTCAAGACTTGAGATGGTATTCACATATCTAGTAGTGAGGATTCTCTGAGCAGTTTGTGAATATCTAGCTTTTTAGAATTATTATTCATACATAAGGTTACCGTGTACTTCATTATGAAATCTCATTCTCCTAACTGGGCGATAGATAGATCGCTTCAGAGTGATATGAATAAGTTCTGTTTATTGTTTTCGATCTTGTAATTTTTTGGTGTACTTCCTATTATGCTCTTCGTGTTGAGAAACTTCGTCAACTCGCTTGAATCTATAACTTATCGATGATCAGTATTTTACAATAACTTTTCGCTCGAGATTAGAATCTAGAATCTAGATAATAAATGAATAATGAATAATAAATGATAAATAATGAATAATGAATAATGAATAATGAATAATGAATAATGAATAATGAATAATGAATAATGAATAATAATAATGAATAATGAATAATGAATAATGAATAATGAATAATGAATAATGAATAATGAATAATGCATAATGAATAATGAATAATGAATAATGAATAATGAATAATGAATAATGAATAATGAATAATAAATAATAAATAATGAATAATAAATAATGAATCATAAATGATGAATAATAAATAATGAATAATGAATAATGAATGATAAATGATAACGTAGTTTATCAGCATGTGGGGCCATATCATCATATGGGCCACCCCCTTTTTGCATACAAAATTCGTCTGTGCGTAACCGTGCACTTTCTTTATTTATAAATATAATCTCTCAAAAATTTAATATATGATATTTGATTATAAAAGTATTAAAGATTTCTAATTAGTTTTCGAAAATTCAAATTAATATAAGAGTTATTATTAAACTAGTTTTTTTATAACGAAAATCGTGACAATTCTGACTTTTTCCAAAATCTACATAAGAAATATTCATTAAAAAGATTTATTTATAGAACAGCTACTTTCTTATTATTATTTAATGATCTTTTTTTCCCTCAAACTAATGATTAGTTATTTTATATAAGAATATGAAAAAAGCCCTAATTTTGGTGTATTTTCAAATGGCCCACATGATTGATATGGCCCAACATGCTGATAAACCACGTATATGTTCACTAATTTGCACTATGCAGATGGAAGGGAACTACTAGGTTACCTACCTACTCTATATCTGAGAAGAAATAAGCTGGATGGATGGATGAATGGATGGAAGTGATTGATATTAGCGAGGCGAAACGAGGCGAAACGAAATGGAATGATACTTTTGAGGATAGGAAGTGAATTATCGTCTGCAGAGTAATCGAGAGGGAATGGAATGAGGGTTGAGAGATGATGTGAGTAGAGATATGAAGATGGGTTTGGATTTTATTTGATATTGATAGATTTTTTTTTATGGCTAAAGATGTGGTTGATTTATTGTAGAAGTGTATTAATTGTTGATTGATACGTACTGGGAGGAAGTATTAGGTAATTAATCATTCTGGTGTGATTTTTTGTCCGATGTACGATATAAAGTAGAGAGATGTAATATATACTACGATACTTCTAGTAGGTATTAGGTAGATATTGTGATTGTAATTGTGATGTGTTTCGAGTTCTAGGATACTTGGATTTCTATTCATTATAACCTTAATACGTCTATAACGATCTTGGAATGTGATAGGCAACGTACAGAAGCTTGCTCTCGATCGTGGAATACATATTGAGCTTTGTCTTTTGGATTGTCACATTTATGAGGGTTGAAAGGTTTGATTGGTGGGAATGTATTGTGTCATCAAATATATTGCAAATACCTACCTAGGTGTTGATGAGACGCCAAGTAAATTTCACCGGGCATATCTCCCAAGACGTATCTTCTCCACGTTTTCTTCCATTTCATCTCTCATCATTTTCCTACTTCTTCTCTCCCGACCAACTTCCACTCCAATGTACGATCCCTCACCCCGCAAAGACTCGAAACTTTAAGAATCACCTTCCCCACACTCTCCACCACCGGGTCCCGAAGTTGGTGCGGTAACTAATATGCACATAGCCTGAAGGTGGAAAAAGAAGAACCTGCAAGGACTGGCATCGCTCGCGAAAACTTTGATGCGCATCAATCGGAAGTCTCCTTTCATGTCTATCAATGCCGTAAGCTTGCGAAATGCGGAGAGATGTGCTCGGCATTCGATCGCTTAGGAAATAGCTTCATTTTGGCATGTTTGCTGCAATGGCCACGATGGACATCCCGTTGCATGTATTCGGGGTCAATATCTACCTATGGCTACTTGTGGGTCGATGTCCTCTATTCTTCCGAGATGCAGGAAAAGAATCATACGTGAAGTGAAGTCTTGGGAAATCGTAATTCCGAGGTATATATAGTGCTGGGAACTTGCAGTTACGTGACTTTTTTTCCCATCATTGCTGTGAGGTTGCATTCATTTTCAATCTCAAGCTTCCAAAATGTTCTATTCTAGTCTTTCTGTTTTACCGGTGCTTGCTGGCATTGCCAGTGCCATCAATATCACTGCATCTGCAAGTGGTGGGAATGCCTCTTCTCCATTAGCATATGGTCTCATGTTCGAGGACATCAATCATTCTGGTGATGGTGGAATCTATGCCGAACTGATTCAAAATCGAGCATTTCAAGGAAACCGAGAATTTGCATCTACTTTGGAGCCATGGACAGCAATTGGAAGTTCAGTCTTGACCTTGCAAAATACATCAATACCATTATCCTCAGCATTGCCTACATCAGTCAATGTTCGTGCATCATCCAATGGCACATATGCAAATAGCACGGGGACAATTGGACTCTCCAATCCCGGATGGTGGGGATTCAGTGTCCAACCTCAAAAATATACCGGAAGTTTTTGGGTTCTGGGTGCATACACGGGAAACTTCACGGCAAGCTTGGTCGGTGCAACTTCTGGAACCGTGTTTGCGAGTGTCGATATACCATCCAACTCTACCTCTGAAAAATGGACCGAATTCCCTTTCACCCTCGAACCTACCGCTGCAGCTCCAGATGTCAATAACAATTTCACCATCGAATTCGAAAGTGGTCATTCTCTCAACTTCAATCTCATCAGTCTCTTCCCACCAACTTACAATGACAGACCAAATGGTCTTCGACCAGAGCTTGTACAAGCCATGAAAGATCTAAACCCAAGTTTCTTCAGAATTCCAGGAGGAAATAACATGTACGTATTCTGTTTTGTCTTATTTCTTGTAGGCATTACTAATCATTGTGGAAAACAGTGAGGGAGACTCTTACGGTTACCGATGGGCGTGGAATGAGACAATTGGCCCTCTCAAAGATCGTCCAGGAAGACCAGGTATGTATTGAGATCCGAATCCAGTCTACTCATGAACGTATTGACTAATACTCCAATAGGAACCTGGGGTTACCAAAGTAAGCATAATAGCTTCTATTACAAACATGTCTTGACCGATAATCTCTGGATACTAATCTTATAACAATCTAGCACCGATGGACTTGGTTTGATTGAATACATGAACGTGAGCTCTCAATCCCTCTCCAAACCCACCAAATACTCACGCTAATCTCTTGAAGTGGTGCACCGATCTCAATGTCGAGCCAGTCCTAGCAGTCTGGGCCGGTCTTTACCTACGTAGCGACGATACACAAGTATTGGTTGTACCTGAAGCCGAACTCCAACCATATGTTGATGATGTGATGAACGAACTCGAGTTCCTCATGGGCGATACCAGCACAACATACGGAGCTCTTCGTGCTTCCCTTGGTTACCCCGAACCGTGGAAAATCAACATTATAGAAGTGGGCAATGAAGATAACCTCAGCGGAGGAGAACCCTCATATATCGCCTACCGCTGGCCTATGTTTTTCAATGCCATCCATGCGAAATACCCAGATATCCTCGTCCTCTCTTCGACTCAAGATCTTCGCTCTGTTGGTCCTCCTCACACATCTGGAACGGATTTCCATCAATATCTCAGACCCGATGATTTTGCAGTCCAATTCGAACTCTTCGATAACGCAAATCGATCTTACCCCATCTTACTAGGCGAGTATGCCGTCATCCAACCAAACGCAAATGGTGTACCCGTCGACTGGAGCGCCGCCAAATTAGACTACGGAACTTGGGTTGGTGCAGTCGGTGAAGCCATCTACCTTCTCGGCATGGAAAGAAATGGCGACATCGTCCTCGGAGCCTCATATGCTCCTGGATTCCAAAACATCAATTCATCCCAATGGACCGTAAGTCATTCTTGATCCCAAACTACCTATCACTGAGTTAAAAAAACAAAAAAAAAACTAACCAACGTCCCCACCAAAAGCCCGATCTCATAACCTTCAGCGCCGACCCCGCCAAAACGGTCCTCAGCTGTTCCTGGCACCAACTCCAACTCCTCTCCACCCACCGCTTCAACGCCACCGTTCCCTTCCGCGTCTCCAACTCCGGTAATGGCACCTCGCCCTTCGGTCCCGCGTTCTACGTCATCGGCGTCAATGATCCCGGGGAATATGTCTTCAAAGCTGCAATCTACAATACCACCGCGCCGGTTCCGTTCTCGATTGATTTTGAAGGGGTGGATGCGGGTGCGGTGGGGACGCTGACGGTGTTGAATGTGCCCGAGGGAAATGCGGTGAATGTTTATGGGGGTGAGGATGTGGTTGTGAAGACGGTGAAGAATGTTACGGCGGGGGCGGGGGGAAAGTTTGAGTTTGAGTTGAAGGAGTATGATATTGCTGTTTTTACTACGTAGATTGTAGAGAGAGGAAGGAAGAGGGGAAATGGTGATTAAAATGAAAGTATTGATTGGATATAGATGAAATTGGCTTTTGTATTTTTTGCGATTATGTGAATGTATGATTATTTTCTGGTAGAGATTCGTGGAATTAATTCATCAGGACCCTGATATGCATGTGACATGGTTGGAGAATATAAAGAGATGAATTGACATCTTGATAGCGCAAGGGGAACAATTCAGATTTCTAACGGGGTGCCTAAGTAATCTTTAAATTTCAAATCAAGCAATGGTAAACAGAGTTTGATCTTCGGAAATGCAACTGTACTATACTATATAGCTTGACAGGATTATAACTCGATATAAGGCAGACAACTGGGCTGAGCTAAAAATACTTGGATATTTAACTTATATAACATCAGCTTCTCTACTTGGGAATGCTCGCTCCACACCCTTAATTTGTGGTATGGTGGTTTCACCCTATGCTAGGAAATTGATCGTGATGAATCGACTGTTCATTTTTATATGTACAAGATGAAAGAAAGAGTTGGATTGGAGGAATTCCCCGTTTGGTAGGTAGTAATCTTACCTGGGAAACATCTCATCAGGACCATTCTCGTCTTGTACTTCGTTACCAATAGAGATTTGTGGATGGAATCATTCGTATATTTAGGTTGGGTTTTGAAATGGGCTGTATTTTTTGGTTTGAAAAAGGCGTCAGTGAGAGGATAGGAATCTTTGTATTCGCAGTTGTGTGATTGTGTGAGTTCTATTTCAACTAAAGACACTAGTCTCAATTGTTGAATAACAGATGCGGTAGTACCTAGTTTACCAGGTGAATGGAAATCCGCGCATGGAGATAAAAGTAATCTTGAAGAGAAGCAGCCAAATTGATACTGATAGTAAAACAAAGTGACTCTTGCGAACCCATTCAATGGTTTTCAATGCCATTTTGATCACGGGCCTAGCCGAATGTGAGGATATCTCTTCATCCAGTATATGATGGTGAATGGAGGAGTTTTCGAAAGGAAGAGGTCGATTGAAGAATGATGTTGTTTTGGGGATGGTGTGGATGGTGACTGGGTTTGGTTCGAGGGTGCGAAGTCTGCTGGCTTGAGTGTGGTCTGTGGTTGATGTGAGGTTTAGGGAGTTGGCAGTGAGCAGTGAGTAATGAGCGGGATAGTAATGATGGTGTTGCAGATGAAATAGCAATGTCCGCGTATCTCCAAAATTAATGGTCGCATGTATGGTAGATTTGCCAGCTTTGAATACCTAGTATGGAGTTCACTTGGATGGACAAGAATGATGGCAGAAAATCATGTTGTTGTATCGGTACTTCTCTGTCTGTTGTTTTCGCGATGGTCATGATAACGATGAATATATATATATATGAATATACATATGAATATACATATTTGTATGCGGCCTCTTCAAAAAGTTTCAGGCATACCTCACTTACTGTTGTCAACAAAATGATAGTTGAAACATTGAAGTTGTTCACACCACATTGCATTCATTCATTCATTCACTCATTCACTCATCCATTCAATCGACACATCCGATGATGTAATACCAGAGTACGATAAAAACTCAAGATTAAGGGTATATCAAACTACACTTCCTATTGGTCCAATCACGATCTTATCGCAGAATCTGCAAATCGCCCGGAAAATCCATTTGTACTACTTCAGACACAAACATTTTCTTTCATTCACCCAATCATATCATCCTTAAATTTTCTTATTCCGTGATTTCAATTGAGACATTGACCAAGTGATATCAAGAACAACAATATTTACTCTTGGATACTCAGATACTCGAGTACTCGAATTCTCGTCATTCATATTTATCTATCGTCTTTATCATCAATATCATCAAATCTCATCGATGCCCTCAAATCACATCCAACCCAAAGATATAAAGATATAATTTATAGACATCATGATGTCGCTATTGTCCTTATCACACGATTTATCCGTCCAAGAAGCGTTATCGGGCATCTTTGGAAGTATCAGTTTAGCAACTTGGATCTTTTTGTTGGTTCGTCATACCTCTGTATCCAGTTTGGACTCCTTCATGCCCAACCAAAGTATGGAGGGTTTATGGTATTGGGTCATGAATCCTCATGTTGATGTGATTCGATCGTTCTAGGTACCACAACTTATTTTGAACTATCGGTCTCAGAGTGCCGATGGAGTATCATTGGCTTTCTTGTCGGTTTGGTTTATTGGCGATGTTGCGAATCTTGCTGGTAAGTGCAAAGATGGATTTGGAGGAGGGTCGCACGATCTGAACATTCATGTCGTGGCTTTGAAAACCATGATCTTGATATTGATGACTCTTCTTCCCAATCTACCAACTTGTCCATCCAAGATCTCATTCTTCGATTGTCACGTGCGTACATTAACTCGTCTTCAGGTGCAATCTGGGCAGATCTTGTCCCTACAGTAACTGTTCTAGCCATCTATTTCTGCATTGCGGACTTTGTACTTATCTCACAATGTTTATATTACAACAAAATCAATGCTCAGAAACGCCAAGAAACGGAATCCATTGCCCCAACTGAGGAAGATCCTCTTCTTGCCCGTCGACGAAGTAACAGTAATATTGGACTTCCAGGATCTCATAGAAGACGCTCCTCAGCGATGAGTGGAAGTCAATGTCATGAAGATACCTTGACCAAGATTTTGGAAGAGGATGATTCTCCAGATGCAAATGCTTGGGTTAAGAATATTGTTAGCATTTTATTGGTTATTGCTGCTGGAACAGCTGGATGGGCTATTGCTTGGAGAAGTGGTGTCTGGACGCCTACACCAGAGAATGGAGGTGATGTTCCTAAGACGAACGAAGTTGCTGTTGGCGCAGAGATACTAGGATATTTTAGTGCAATTTGCTACCTTGGGTGAGTTATTTCATGGGAAAAGAAAGTTAAAGGACGTGGGCTAATCACATTATCTATCAAGCGCTCGAATTCCTCAAATCTTGAAGAACTACAAGGAAAAGTCTTGTGACGGTATGCGATTTCATTTGGCCCTCCCACAATACCTTAAGCTAATAACCACAGGTCTCGCACTCCTTTTCTTCCTTCTCTCATTGATGGGAAACCTAACGTATGGTGCTGGCATTCTCTTCCATTCCTTGGAGAAAGAATATCTCATCATTAATACCCCATGGCTCATCGGATCTTTGGGAACGATTGTTGAAGATGCAGTGATCTTCCTTCAATTTAGGATGTACGCACCAAAGCCAACTTCAACCACTGCTGCTGTTGAATAGGCGAAATATATGATGAACGAGGACAAATTGCATTGGGGGGATCTCATATTTAGTATCGAACCTGTACAATAGACCGCTACTGAGAGCAGAGGAAGGGCGTTTTTGAATTGTTATCTTTTCGATATGCATGGAAGAGGAATTGGAAAGGTAGATTGAACCACGGAAGATGAACATTGGATATACTAATGATAATTAAAGTTTGAAAATGTTTGAAATCTTTTTTACCAAGATCGCCCCCTTTCATTATCATTTCATTTTACATCTAATGTTTCTCATCTCGTGTTTCTTCAATGCCAAGCGCTCTTATAGCAATAATAATAATAATAACCCCGCCAAGCCATCCAATCTCTTCAATCAATCCTTTCCGGCAAAGCGTAAAATCCCCCTTGATACTGTACGACCTCAAATCTCAATTAACTTTCTCATACAATTTATCAACCGACCTCACTCACCTCACCATCTATTTTGCCGTCGCAATTGCCACTCTTTAAGTGTTTGAACAGTCCATGAATTATCAGTCGATTTAATTCGCAAGTCACTCTTTTATTTACTTTCCCTTTGCATATACACGTAAACAAACAGCAAACGCGCATTCTCTCCATCTCCACACCCCACAGTCCTTTTAACCTTAACCCACAACCTTGAACTACGATGCGCTCCCTCGCAACTCTTCTTCCACTCGCTGGAGTTCTTTCCACTGCTACCGCAGCAGGTACATTGGGATTTGCTCTTGGTGACAAGAAGACCGATGGGACATGTAAATTCACCGCCGATTACGAAGCGGATTTCGACACGATTTCGAAAGGGAGCACTGCTCGCATCGTGCGAGGATATGCGGCAAGCGATTGCGATACTGCGAAGGAAATCCTGCCGGCTGCGAAGTCGAAGGGCTTCAAGGTTGTTTTGGGTATTTGGTATGTGGATTTGATTTGATTTGATGAGAACTGGATGTTTGGAGATAGGTTGGATGGCTAATCATGTGCAAAAGGCCCGATACCGATGAATCCTTCGCCGCGGATAAAGCAGCAGTAGTCAAGTATGCGCCGCAATATAGCGATCAGGTCTATGCTATTACTGTCGGGTCGGAATCTCTCTACCGTGGAAACTTCACTGGTGAACAACTTCTCGAGAAGATTCAGGATGTCAAGAAGGCGTTGAATGGAGACTTTAAGGTTGGAACGGCGGATAGTTGGAATAAATATATGGATGGGACAGCCGATGCTGTTATCAAGGGGGGTGCGGATATCTTGTTGTGCAATGCGTTCAGTTATTGGCAGGGACAAGAATTGAAGAACGCAACGCATAGTTTCTTTGATGATATTATGCAAGCTTTTGGTCACATTCAGGATGTTGCTGGATCTACTGACGGACCTGAACTTTGGGTTGGAGAGACTGGTATGATATATATTTTCTTTGCATCTACTTTCGTGTTCACAGCATCCGAAGATATCCTGGGCATGATACAACGCCATGGTCGATTTTCATGCTCATATTTTATACATATGCTAACGTGATTTCTAAATAGGTTGGCCCACAGCAGGCTCAAAATACCAAAACGCCGTCCCTGGCACAACGTCTGCACAAACTTTCTGGAGTGAGGCAATCTGTGGCATAATGGATTGGGGTGTAAATGTTTTCTCCTTCGAGGCATTCGATGAGCCATGGAAGCCAGTATCTACCGGTGCCGACGGATCTGTCGCGGATGAAACTCACTGGGGAGTCTGGAACAGCGACCGAAGCAG